AATACAACATTCCAAAACCTCTGGGATGCAGTTAAGACAGTCCTCAAGGGGTACTCAATTGTAATAGGCAAACACCTAAAAAAATGAGAAAGAAACAAAATTAATGATCTAACTCAACATCTCCGTCAAATAGAAAAAGAACAACCTAGCCCAACAGCTTCTAGGAGAAAGGAAATTATAAGAAAAATAGCTGCAAACAGTGAGTTAGAAAACAGAAAAAAACAGTTGAAACCATCAATAAGACCCGAAGCTGGCTTTTCGAATGGGTCAATAAAATTGACAAACCATTGGCAAACTTAACAAGAGGAAAAAAAGGAAAAGAAACAAGTAACTTGATTAAGGAATGATAGAGGTAACATCACAACAGAACCAGAGGGTATTAAATATACAATATTAGAACATTATGAAAAACTATACTCTGATAAATTTGAAAACTTAGAGGAAATGGATAAATTTTTTCCTTTTTTATTCTGTTTTCTGTTCTAGCAAATTAATGCTGAGAATTCTTTCTTCTCTTTCACTGGTTCTGTGTTCCATCTTACCACCTCTACTCATATTTCCCTCCAACATGTTGACAGGATCTGAAACATTGATCCTCATATTCTGCATTGTGGTTTCTTGTTTTTCTAGAGTCTCAAAGTCCTCCTTTGTTTTATCTGCATTATCTTGGATGTTTTTTTAAGTTCTTCCTAGAGTCCTGTAATTCTTTGGGATTTTCTTTCATCCATTGAAACTACTCAGTCATTGTTCTTTTGAATTCTGTGTCAGATAATTCCATCAGATTGTCTGGCTTCAGGAATTCCATTGTGTAGAATGTGAGGTAGTCTGCTTCTTCTGTGTCCTTGCTCTGGTGGACTTTTTCATGACTGATGGTTTAGCAGGCCCTTGGTCTGATAACCTTGGCTCAGGGGCTCACTGCTCTAGATAAGGGCAGAACAGCTAGCTACTTGCCTGAATTTTTCTCTGATCCTTTGACTTAGGGAAGACTTTCTTCACTTGGTGAGAGCTATGGCCTGTGAATTAATAGCCTTCTCCACTAGGCAACTGCTGCAGCTAGGCAGGTCCAAGGTGTCAACAGCCCAAAGGAATTCAAACTCTGGGTGAAGAAAAAAAATTGCTTCACTTGTGATATTGGTGCTGCTGGTGCAGGACAGAGGGGTGGCAGCAGATACAGGGTTGTCTGCTCCAGGTGGTGTGGTTCTGGTTTTGCACTGCAAGCAGATGCACACTCAGGGCCATACTAAGAAATTTTTAAGGTCACAGGGACTCAATGGCGCATAACAAGAACAACAACTTAGCTAATGGACTAGAAGAGATCCACGTCTGTGATATTGGTTCTCCTGGTGCAGGAAGACTTGGTGGTCATCTTGGCGATCTGTGGTTTTGGTGGAGTGTTAATAATGCTTTATGAAAAGAAAAATATTCTGTGTGCAAATGAAAAGATCATGTATTTGGACTTAAGAAGCATTTCTGTACTACTGGTGTTTCTAGCTATTCAACCAAAAGTTCTTTGTAGTTTCTGTTGGTATATTCTTTGCTCAGGAGTCAGGAAATAATTGTTGTTGTTGTTGTTATGTGCCGTCGAGTCGTTTGAGACTCATAGCGAACCTATGCACAACAGCCCTAA